CAGGTACCTTTCAGCAGTCCCACGGCAGCCTCTGTCGACAAGGCGAAGGAGTCGAGTGAGCGAGCGATGTCCAGCAGACCCTGGAAGTGCTGAGCCATGTGATCCCTGCACACCGAGCAGATGTTGTGGATTGCCTTCGCTGCCGCCGACGCCAGAGGTTTCTCTCGCAGGCCTTTCATCAGGTAGTTGAGCACCGGGTCTGAAAGAGACAACGGGACACAGGGTTTACCTTCACGCAGTCGAGAAGGAAGTCATGGTGACAGGGTGAGATACAGGAAGCTCAGAGTGCTTCACTGGAGTGTCCTGATCTGATCTCACAGATTACGGCTTTTACGAACTCAGCAGTGTTTGCATGAACCTGATCCTTAGCTTACAGCGACCGTCACAAAGGTGTCGGCAGAGGATATAACTATATAACTTCAGGTGTGTATTATTAAGCAAAATGGCCTCGAACCAGAAGACCTGTCTGAGGACACGACAACGGTCGACCCGTCAGACTACAACAATCTGACTGAAGCCTCTTGGTGGTGTTTTTATCTCCTCACCCAGGAATCTTGGGTTTCTGTCCACGACTTCGCTCATCTCTCCGACCAGCTCGATGCTCGTGTACCGGACCGCCATGTGGACGGTTTCCGGCAGCAGAACCACCTGCTGCAGCACCTCTGACAGCGTCGGGTTGTTCTCTCTGAAAACGACACACAGAGCATCACATCAGGATGGTTAGCGTTCGATATCCTCACGTCTGGAGGTTTCCCACATGCCGGCGACTCTTCAGAAACTCACGGGTCGACACTTTTGGCGATGGCGGCCATGATGAAGAGGACGGCCTCCGTCACTTCCCACGGCGGGTTTCCTTCTTTTAACGTAGAATACAACTGAGAACAAACAGGAAATGAAATGAAAACACTGCCGAGGAACGAGTAACCAGTTAGTGGACCAGAGAGCAGAGCTACCTGAGAGAAACACTCCATGGACCCAACAAGAAATATGACGTCCTTAACGAGGTCCGAGACCCTCATCCTGAACTCCCCGAAGTCGTCGGTGTCCTCTGGGATTCCCTCCTGTGGGGCGACAAGAACCTCAGGCTGAATATCAGGAAGACGTTTAGCACAAGCGGCAGAAATTTAAGACTCCACGTGGGAGTCAGAGGCGGTTCTGTTCTTACGTGGTCCGGGTCGAGCTGACAGTGTCGGGCCAAACAGTGCAGCAGTCTCTGGATGTACGGTCTGAAGATGTTGTGGAGCGCCGCGTTGTTGATTTTGTACAGATGCTCTCCGAGACGATACCAGAAGTTGAAGGAAATCTCCACGACCTGGACCACGGACACGAGAGGGTCAGAGTTCTACCGAGTCGTTCTGCACGTGTCTGATTAAAGTCGATTAAAACACTAGAACCGTACAGTCTGGGTACATCCACTCATCTGTATTTGCTGTTTACTTGTTTTCTGAAACCAAGATGTCAAAAAAACAAAACACTAAAATGACCTTAAGCACTACGAGACCATCAGAACCAAAGTGAGATTCCTGAATAGTTTTATTTCTTTATTATTTATTCTTAAAATGAAGCGTTCTCCTGTGAGCAGCATGAAGGAACTGAAGATAATTTAACTGATGGTTGGACATCGAAGCAGCTTTTACAGAACTAGAGCTTTGGGCAGATGTAAGTCTATAAACTCTCAGTAAACAGCAGCTTTTCGTGGTTCTGGCTCCGTTTAATCAAGTCAGTTATGCAGGAAACACGTCGTACTCGTCTGTTTATGTGGAACCCGTTCAGCAGCTCAGAACCACAGTTGGACGTTTAAGGAGTCGCGTCCTTTCTGAGCCCAGGCGGTTATTTTTGTTCGCGGGGCGCTGCGGTTATTTTCGTACCTCGTACTGCGGGTGTCCTGCACAGATCAGCAGCAGCTCCAGTGTCCTCAGGTCTCCCATCCCCTGGCCCGGAGTCCTGACCGTCGTCTCCAGGAAGGTCTCGCAGAGCTCGGTGAAGATCCGGCAGTAGTTCAGCACTCTGGGGACAGAAACCCGGCGTGAGTGCAACCGACAACGACAACATGACGACGACACAAACAGGAGGTGGCGTCCTCACTTGTCCAGGTCTTCTCGGGCCACGGCCATGTGGTAGGCCGTCTCCAGCGTCAGCACGCCCTGGAACAGCTGCAGCGCCAACGCCATGTTGGTGTCCACGTTCTCTATGGCGTAGAGCGCCGAGCACACGCAGTCCGACGCCGCCTCGTGCAGGTTGGTCGAGGTCTCGTCCCTCTGCTGTGGAGACAAGCCGACATGAGCAAATCACCTCCCCAGTTCAGGGTTCGGCTGCAGAGCGACGAGCAGCTACAGTTAAAGCTAACGCTAGCGCCTCACCAGGACTTGGAAGAGGACCATGAGCAGCTGGTTACTGGCCATGAAGTTGCTGTCCAGGACTCCCAGGTTGAACCAGCTGCCCAAACACCGAAACACCTTGATGAGCATCTTCTCATCGTTACCCGTCTTCTCCACACACGTCGTCTGGAAGCAGAAGATCAACAGACGTCATTCTAACGTCGTTACAACACATTTAATGTCCAACACGTCTGAGCTGGATGTCAGGTTCGTCTCTGGTGCTTCTGACGACAGAATCAGTGACGGACATCATGAAGGACAGTTTGAAGTTCTGGTCGATAATCTGAACCGATAATGGATCGATCATGAACACAAACCAACACAGCAAACTTCCCTCCACACGCTGACGACACAGTTTAGTTCGTTAACTAGTCGGGTAACAAACATTTTATCGGAACCTTTTACTGTAAACCTCGTTATCCTGTCATCAGTCTGACTTTGCCTTTAGTCTGATTATTTTCTACACTTTCAGCCGTCTCGTTGCTGCCTGACTACCAGCAGCAGCTCAGGCTGCTTTAAAGGCTCCATCTTGTTAAACCTGATTTAACGTAACGAAGCCTTCATCAGGCCTGACTGTGGATCACATCAGCTGGTACTGAGCTGTCAGTGTGAGTGGGTCAAACTGAGGAGGAGGTTCTGACCAGCAGCGTGACCACCGTGCTGGAGTAAAACGCCAGATCCTCGATGATCTCCGTCCGGCGGTTGGCTCCGATCCGTAGAGACCGGCTGTGGACCTCCTCCGGCAGCACGGTGAGGATCTCTATGAGGAAGGGCATGGAGCTGATGTCGTTGTTGTACCTGAGAGAGGGGGGCGGAGCCAAACAGACGATAGGTGAGTCAGGGGGCGGAGCCTCGCGGTGCGACAAGGTTCAGCTGATTGTGCGGGTTCTTACTTTTCTATGAGCGTGTGAACGCATCCCTTCCAGGAGGCCATCTGCAGGGCGAGATCAGCGATGGCCAGAGCCAGCTGGGACACAAGACCACAGGTTTAGTCACACGTCTGACGAAACAACAACTTCCTGCTGCTGCTGCTGGTGAAACTGTTGAAACTGATTTCCACCTCGGTTTGGTAGAAACCAGCCGCTGATGCAACAACAAACGACTTTCAGAAACAAAACACTGACAGAATTCATACGAGACGAACGGCAGGAAACGAGTTTGGCTTCAGACAAACACACAAAGTCATCGCTTCTGTCCAACAGTGAAGCTGAACACGAGTGTTTGTGTGTCCACACCGACTCCAGCAACCAGTCGGACCGGGACACGAGCTCGTCACATGACAACAGTCGCATGACTCAGACCGCAAAGACACACAACAAACGGATTTCAAAGGGGACAGAAACGACAACAAAGGGACGCAAAAAGACACGAAATGATCCCAGAGAGACAAACAGCTGCAGAGAGATGCAACACAAAGACACACAAAGTGATCATAGAGGTGAAAAATGACCACAAAACAACACAATATGATCACAAAAACACACAAAATGACCACGAAACGACACAAACTGACCACAAAGAGACACAAAACAATGTCAGAGGTGCACAATTACCACATAAAGACACAAACAGGTGCAAAAAGAGACTTGAAGTGATTTCAAAAGGGAAAGAAATGACTTCAACAGGAAACAAACTTCACACAAAAACACATGAAATGACCACAGAGTGATATTAAATGACCAGAAAAACAAGGAAAGTTAACAAAAAGACACACAAACAGTTTCAAAGAGGAACAAAATTAACACAAAAAAGATGACAAACAGGTTGACAGGGTGGCGTGTAGAAAGCTTGGTTCAGTTACTCGGTTCTATGAACATCTGAGTCGAGTCGTGTGTTTTTATCTGAACACTGTTTGTTGTGAATCTAAAGGTTTTCACTGCAGGAACTAAAGTTAACGCGACGCTGCAGCTTTTCTCTGCTTCTGCTTTCAGGCGAGTTCAGGTGTTCTCAGGGGCGGCTGTGATTGGCCGAGCAGCGATGACACCTGACAGAAAAACATCACCTGACGTCGCAACTGTCAGAGGCTCAGAGACTGGACTCACGTTTATGATCAAGAATATTCACTAAACCTAATATGAAAAAAAGAACCAAAAGATTTCATAAAACACAAGAAAAAATATAAAAAATCAATAAAAATGTTCGTAGTGATTTTAAAATGTGACAAAAATATGAAAAATATTCCTGAAAATGCCCAAACGTGTTTTTACAATTTCAGAAAAATATTATAAATGTAATATATGTACAGAAAATATTCAAAAAGTTTTCAAACTTAGTTAAATGTGATGAAAATAAAACTGTTAACAGCCCCGGAGGCATCGACTGCCTCTAAAATGTGAGAAAAAAATATGAACGAAATGTCCCAAAACTTTTTATAAACATCTACAAAATACTGAATAAATGACCCACAAATATTTTAAAGATGAAAGAAAAATGTCCCAAAAATATTTATAAAATGTAGGAAAAGAAACGCCCAGATGGAAAAGAAAAATGAACGAAAATATTTAATAAAACATGAGAAAAAAATCTATAAAAGGAAAAAAAAAAGCTTCGAAAATATGCAAAAAAATATACCGAATATTGAAAAATGTCCCAGAAACAGCATTAAAATATTCATAAAAGTGTAAAAAAAAAAAAACACTGATAAAGAAGTCACACAAATATTAAAAAATTGCCCCAAAAATATTCAGAAAATGTAGAAAAAAAAATAAAATTGGTCAAATGTTAAAGATAAACTAAAATACAAGGAAATAAAAAATCAAATGCTCTAAAAATGTAGCGAAAAAAAATATATAAATAGATTTTCCAAATAAAACGCAGGAAAAGTGGATTAATAAACTGATAAAGTACGACCAGAACACACGGAGCGCTGCAGCGGCGCCGGTACCTGTGTGACGATGATGGGCGACAGGTCTTTGAGGTTCTGGATGTGGGTGAGCAGAGAGTCTCGCAGTGCATTGTGGGTCTCTGGAGGAAGCTCGTAGAAGGACGTCTGGATCTTCATCTTCATGGTCTGAGCAGCGAAGTAGCACGACTCCACGTCCTGCTTGAGCTGCAGCAGCTGGTCGGAGATCTCCCACGCGTACATCTGCGGACACAGAGCAGTCAGTGCACCTGGGCGGCTCACCTGGGGCCGCGTCAGCCAATCGGGACGCAGCGAACATGTCTGGCTAGTTATCAGAACGTGCCTCCAACTGAGGGACGGTTCCAAAGTTCTGTTGACTGGTTCCTAAACACCTGAACTGAGGCTAGTTTCTCTCAGAGTGACTCGAACACGCAGCGTTGATCTGATTCAACTCGTCTCCGTGTCTTTGGTCTCCCGACGCGTTCATCTTCATAAATCCTGCATTTCTCTGCTGCCTTTTGACAAACTCTTTAATTTATTAAACGCTGCTATAAAAGGCTTCAGATCAAACTCTGCTGCTGCTGTGAGCGTAAACCTGAACACAAACCGGAGAACGTCGACGGTTCTTCATGCGGCTGCGTGTTTGTGCCGTTAATGATTAACGGTTCCAGCAGAGCTTCATACGTGGAGAACGCTGAGCTCTGAACACAGACTTCTATTCACTCATCACACGTTATTTATTGACTTCATGTTTCTGAGTATTTAAGTCAACACATGACTACAATTTACTTTCCCTTCATTCACTCATATTTAGTGTTTTTTTCTCATTTATTTCACTGTTTGACTCGATGATGTTTTGTGCTTCTGTGCTTTAATATTTGCTCTCCTACTCTGCAGAGCTCACAATAAGAATAAGTCTGAATAATGTGTCAAAACGAGGAAACAAATGTGAGAAATAATAAATAAAAATGTCCAAAATATAACAAGCGTCTCTAAAATGTGTGGAAAAATTACAGAAATATATATAAAAATATAAAACTGTGCACAGCAGAAGAACGTCCCGAGAACATTCATGAAATGTAAGAAAAAAAATTAAAACATTAAAATCTCCCAAATACAAAAGAAAAATGAAGCTAAAAATGTAATAAAACAACAGAATAAAAACAATAAAATGCCTCAAACACTAAAAAATATCAAGTGTTTCTAAAACGTGTGAATTAAAAATATTACAAATATTATAGATTTTTAAAGCAAACAAAACGTCCGAATAATAAATTCAATTGCAAAAAAAAAAAAATAATCAATAAAAATGTCTTAAAACTTTTATTCAAATGTGGAAAATAATTAATAAAATTTTAAAAAGAAATTAAAAAAAATGTGTTGTGTCTCTAAAATGTGACAAAAATACACAAGACTAAAAATATAAATAAAATGTCCCACAAATATAAAAATAAATTAGCAGAAAAATCTGAATAAAATGTAGAATAAAAACCTCCCAAATATTAAAGAAAAAGGAACCAAAAAAATTCAATAAAAATCTATAAAATGCCCCCAAAATGTGAGGAAATAAACCATGAAAGGTTCGTTCTGCTGTGAAACTCCTAAAAGTTCTTTATGAGACTTTAAACCAGAATAAAGTTCATCTGTTGGATAATTACACGTTTATTAGAATAAAACCAGAACTTTACTGCTGCTGCTATCTGAAACTCAAACACTGCTCTGCTTTCTGATGGGCTTCAGGTTCGGGTTCTGATCGGTTTCGGACCAGTTCCTGGTTCCTGCCACGCCCTCCCCAACACCTGAGCACCTGAACTTTCCTCCGCATTCCGCTCATTCCCTCCGTGTTCCGGCTCTTCCTCCGATCGAGTGGAAGAAAAAAAGAAAAACGCCACATTTTCCGGCTGGACTCCGGTTCGGGCCCGAACCCGTCCACGCAGCGACCACCTGATCCGAACCGTGCGACTTGTTACGTGAAGTCGAACCGAGTCTCCGCGCTGCGTTAGCCCCGCTAGCATGCTAACGTGCTAGCGCAGGGCCGCTGGCTCGGCTCGGATCGGGACGTTTTTAACTCGGCGCAGGAAAACGCACGTTTCGGTCCGAACGGCTCGTCGGAACGGGCGGCCGGGCGGCGGGCTAACGGCCGGCTAGCGCGGCGCTAGCAGCCCGTGTTTTCATCCGCTGGCTTCATTCATTTTGTTAGCTTAGCTGTGATGCTAACGGAAACCTGCTGCTCCTCTGAGACTGCGCACTTTACTTCACCTGCCCGGTTCTGCGCAGGCAAAAACAACAGAACCGGGTCCGCACCGACCGCGTTGAGCCCACATCGGAACCCCCCGCCTCGCAGCCCGCCGGTCCCCGGGCCCGGTCCCCCGGCCTCTCCCATTTTCTTACCGATCTCTGGAGCTCCCCGAGCCACACCGAGGCTCGCTCCTTCCCGGCCGGGTCCGGGTCGTGGTAGAGGGCCTGGACCGCCTGGTAGACCAGCGCCAGGCTCGGTTTCCCCCCTTCCATAACTCGGGGCGGACGCAGGGAGCAGGTAAGGCAGAAAGTTCACCAACACGGCGGATCAGAAACAATCCTACACGGTCCGAGTGTCGACCGCCATCTCAAGCTTCCCGTGTGCCACCGCGACCCTGTCCCCATAGGAACTACGGACGGGAACTTTGGTTCCGCTCCGTCATGACGGAAGAGTTCCCACAGAGGTCCATTCAAAAAAACACCGCTTTTAGTATTTATAGACTCAGAGGTCCATTCAGAAAATAACACACTGAATATAACTGTGTTTATAGACATAGAATTAAAACGTATTTAATTTAATTTAACTGTATTTATTTACAGACACAACACTCGATTCAAAAAGACTTCACACTGAATATAAATGTGTTTGTAGATTCACAGCTTCATTTATAAAACAAAAACAGCCCGTATGTTTATTCTAACGGTTCTATTCTAACTTGGGCTCCAGAAAAAAATCCTGCGTTCAGTTTAACTGTATTTATAGAAATAAAGGTTCATTCAAGAACAGACAACATTTATTAGAACTGTATTTATAAACAGGCACAGACCCTCATTAAAAAATACATTTATTATAATTGTTTTAATGAACACATTTGTCCATTAAAGACATTTAACACAACATTGTTTGATGCAGAACTCCTTTCAAATCATCTCACATTTATAATAAGAACTCAACTCAGATAAAAGCACATTTAATATAAATGTGCTCCAAAGAAATATAACCGTGTTACAGCAGAAACATTCCCCCAAAATACATGAAATGTAGAAAAAAATATCTAAAAATCTAAAATATGAAAGAAAAAAGAATTTAATAACATTTATTAAAACATGAGAAAATAAAATATAAGACGCTCCAGGATGAAATAATAATAAAATAGTGTTTCTAAAATGTGCTCAGAAAACAGAAATGATCCTGAATCATATTTTATTTATTTAATCAAAGCAAATATAAAATCTTAAAAATGAATCAAATGTCCCAAAAATATTCTTAAAATATGTGAGAAAAGAAATTTATCCAAAAATATTGAAGAAAATTTCCTAAAACTTTGAATGAAATTTAAGAGAAAAAACCAAACAAAGAGATGTTCAGCAGATGTGTCTAAGATGTGAGAACAAAGTCCAGCAAAAGATTCAAATAGAATCAAAAAAAGTCCCAGAAATGACCTGAAAATATGAAAAGATCAAAATAATGTTGAAGAAAAACGGACAAGATGTGTCACAAATAAAATCATAGAAAAAATCTCTAAAATATTCAGAAAATATAGAAAATCTGAACATTCACCAAAAAATAAAGTCAGATAAAAATGTAAAAAGGCTCAATATAAATATATATAAAATATATGATTAAAATGTGAATTAAATCACTCCTAAATATCAGAATCAGACACAACATACAAGGAATGAGCAACAGGAAAATAACAAATAAAGTAAAATAACAAAAATATAAAATATAAAAAATATAATATAGATATTAAAATACATAATATACAAATTTAATGTAAAATTTTAAAAATATAATTTAAACTACAAAATATATAAAATATAAATATCTAATATAAAATCTGAAAACATGTATAAAAATGATATAAAAATATAAAATAAAGGTTATAAAAATAGAAAATGTTCATAACTGTTTATAATCTGATCATAAATCAGTCGCAGGAACCAAAGCACGACTTTTATAAAATATATTTTTATACTTTTAATTTTCTGTATTCGTTCTTTGAAGTAAACGAACATCTTTAATCCTCGTTAATCTGCAGCTGCAGCAGCAGAACGTCACCTAGAACTTTTCTGTTCTTCAAATAAACTGAAGAGAATCAAATTAAAACAGATAAAACACGAGGCTTCAGCGTTTGGCCACCAGGAGGCGCCACACGAACTAAATCACAGGAAACCTGTGAGCAGCTTCTCTCTGAACACACATCACATCAGTCATCACAGTGTTTCTCAACCCGTGGTTCAGGGACCAGAACGGGTCCGTCGCTCACGTCTGCAGCTCCTTTAAATAAATAAAAAATAAAAACGATCTTCTGTGTTTGAATCCTGATTAAAGGTGATTTTAGTTTTTAAGTTTGTGTTGAATTCTTTCCGTCTCGTCGTCTTTATGATGAAAAAGAATCAAACTTGAGCGAAACAACGTAAAGATTCACGTCACACCACAAAACACGTCTTTATTGGTGCAGGAACATAAACACAATAAAATACATAAAACTTTATATCTACACACATGTATAAATAAATATAAAGTAACATCGCGGCAACACAAACGTCTCCAGAATAACAGAAAATAACCTCTGATTTAAAAACAAAAAAAGAACCTTTCCATCACTGAAACACTCCAGAGCCCTGAGTTCACATGTTTTGTGTGTTTTGTTGGATTTTAAAAAGTTTCAGAGAATATTTACGTCTGAAAACAATGAAAATGCAAATAAGTAAAGTTGTAATAGAAATAAACGTCTGAAAACGGCATAAAAACACATTATTAGTTCAATATAAAAAGCAAAAAATGTCAAAACAACAAAAATCTACATTTAATTTAAGATTTTTTAGTATTTTTTATGTGTAACTTTAAATAAAAATCTAAATTAAACCAGTTTGCCTCTAAAACTGCTGATATAAACGAACATTTCTCATCAAAACTACAACAATAATTTTTTTTTTCTCAAATTTCAAGAACCTGCTGTTAGTTTTATGTCGTATCAAAGGTAATACGAGCTTCTACATTTAACTTTACACACAAATCTTGTATATTTTCTAGATCTTTGAAGCTAAATAAGTGTTCAGCTACAAAATGAATAGATTAAATATTTAAGTGATGTGACATTAAACCATTAAACAGCTGCTCCTGATTATAATCACAGTCATATTTGTAAAAACAGTTCAAATGTCAAGAATCTGCTGCTAGTTTATATGAGTCTAATATCAACATTTCTGTTTAACTTTTGACAGATTTTTTAGCCTAATTAAGTTTAAACACCTTTAAAACGAACAAACCAGAAGATTTTATCTCCATTTCTGCGTCTGTTTTGAAAATTCAGACAAAAATCTGTTTAATTTGCAGGAAAAAATCCGCAAAATTCTCATTTTTGTTCCTCCAGTGAAGGTCGAAGCTTCCTCAGGTGAGTTCTCTGGTGGGTTCTGGTCCTCTGACGAGTCTTTACCAGAATAATCCGTGAAGCTGGAGGTCCGGCTGCAGCGACTCACCTCCAAACTGAGGTCGTATCATACCCATGCTCCTCACAGCTCACAGCCTGGTTATGATACAGCCCCTGCTCTGGAGGTCACCATCACTCCTTCACCTTCCTTCTTCTGCCGTCGGAGCTCCAGGAGGAACCTCAGGAGATGTTGGTCCTGAGAGCAGAGGAGCAGAAGCTCTGCCTCCAGCCGAGCCCGGCCCAGTAGGAACCAGCGCCACCAGTTCGCCTCTCTGCCTCTAATCTGCTCCTCTGTCGGGGTTTTGAGGATTTGCGGGATTGAGGAGGATGAAGCCGCTCAGGTAAATCTGAAACATCCGGATTAGACGAAGCCACGGACACGAAAACAAAAGGTTCTTAGTGGATTTCGCTCCAAGGCCACCTGCTGCTGCCGCTGAGCCCTTCAGAGGGACCGGTACCGCGTTATCCAATCAGGCCCGGCGGCGAGTTCTGACTCCAAAGAATCTCACAACAAACCCAAATTCTGTTCAATGATTTTTAATGTTAATGTGAAGAAAAATAAAATGATTAAAAAAAGAGTTCAGGTTCAACAGAGCAGCAATAAAACGATAAATAAAAGATTCAAACATCAAATCAAGAGATTTAATATTAAAACACTGTTCTGGTGTGAAAATGACAGAAAAATAAATGAAATTAAAAAAAATTATGAAATAAAATATTACATTAAATATAATAAAAAAAAATTAAAATATAACAAACAAGATATAAAAAAACAGAATAAAATAATAAATAAAACAATATAGCATAAGACTGAATAAAAATCCTGAATATAATTAAAATAATGGAAATAATAAATCTAGGAGGCAAAATAACATAAAAAATAAAACAATTTAAAAAACAAAAAGCAGCTTTTTTAATGTCTTTATGTTTTTTATTATTATTTCATTCAGTTAAGCTGAAAATGAATCTCGTTCATGTTTAAAATAATAAGAAATAACGGCCCCAGTCTTTATTATATTCATGTAAAGTTGTTTTATAAACAGTTTGTTGGGTTTTTAAACTCATATTTAAATGATTCACTGCAGTTTAAACGTGTCGACTCGCAGCAATAATCTGTGTTTTGCACTGACTTGACTGTTGAAGTGTCGGCAGTGAGTTCAGGATAAAACTGATTTAGTTCCTTCATGACGTCGTTAAATCACCGAGCTGCAGGATTTAAAGCTTTAGTTCTACCCAGAGTCAAACTGTGACATGAAGACGAGTCAAAGGTGGTTAAAAAACAGCACAAACACGTTAATAAAAGCTTCAGCATCAGATAAAAACTGGACAGAATCAGAATGAAAACATTTAGAACCAGACAAGCTGGATCAGAACCGAGTCTGAAGCTTAAATTAAAACTAATTAAAACACCTTCAACTGGAGACGAGAAGCTGATTCGTCCAACTTCAGGTCGTTTGTTGAGACGGGAAATTAAAACAGTTTGTAGTTCAATTAAAACACCAGATAATAGAATTAAAAGCAGCTCACTTGTGCACGCGACTGCAATTGACTGAATTAGTTGATTTAAATATAAATTTTAGAGGAAGAAACTTCATAAAACAGGTTCGATCACTTCAACTTTCTTCACCTGCATGTCAGGATTTATTTAACCGACTTAACCTGTTTTTTAAAGCTGATGTTATAATGAACTGATGAATGAAAATATGAATGAAATGTGAAAAATGTAAATCATATTTTGGTCATAAATACGATGCTGAACTGCATAAAACGGAGAAATATCAAAAATAAAAGTAGTTTCAGTCGTCTGATTTCTGGAGGTTTGTCAACTTAAAAACTTTTTAAAATGTTCAAAAAAAAAAATATGATCAGATTGAAAAATATCCCTGAAAATGTCCCAAAATATTACAATGTTTGAAAATTATAAATTCATATTAAATATATATAAATAGAAAATATTTTAAAAACAACAACAACAACAAAAAATCCGCTAAAGGTAAAAAAAGAGAAAAGTTTTCAAACTTAGTTCGATGTGATGAACATTTGAGAACATTTTGTTAAAAAGGAATAAAAATATTTTTTACAAAAGTTGCAAGAAATATTCCAAAAACTTCTACAAAATACTAAAACATTTTTTCTAATGAAAGAAAAATGTTAAAAAAATATTTATAAAATGTGGGGAAAAAAAACTCCCACATAGAAAAGAAAAATGAACCAAAAATATTTCATAAAACATGAGAAAAAAATTCTATAAAATACCTACAATGTTAAAAAAAAAAAAAACTAAAATATGCACAAAAAAAACCCAAACAAAAAAACATGATTACACTAAAAATCAAAAAATGCCCCTAAAATATGACTGAAATGTTCTAAAAATAGAAGAAAAAATATAAATATAAGAAAAACTGGGAAAACAGTCACACAAATATATTTTAGAAATGTCTGAAACATTGCCCCAAAATATTCATAAAATGTAGGATTTAATTTTTTTTTTTTACCAACTACTGAAGGAAAATTAACCAAAACAGTAACTGAAACACAAGAAAAAAAAAATCTATCAAATGCTCTCAAAATGTGGAGTAAAAACAAGATGAACTGCTTTGTGTTCATAATGATGGTAATTAGGTGAGACTTAAAGTTTCCTTCAACACTAGTTGGAACAACTGAACGAGGACGTAATCAGCTTAAAACCTGTGTTTATGCAACGAATCATCAAATAATTAAAAATAGCTTCGACTGTGAGTGAAGGTAGTTTGTTGGTTTCAGTAGACGTCGTCTTTTAGGGTCTTAATGTGCTGATTGAAGTTTTACCTGAAGCTGAAGGTGTGTCAGTGCTTTGTGTTGGCTAACGGGCTAACGGGCTAACGGGACGTTTCAGTTCAGTGAATAAAGTCTGAAACATTAAAGGCATCTTCAGAACTCGTCTTTAGTTCTTCTTCTGTCTGAAACATTCAGTCCAACTCGTTTCGCTGTTTAATTTTTCACGTTTGGAAACGACCAAAACGAGTTAAAATGAAAAGTGTGTTGCGTGAAGGGCAGCTTTCCAAGTGTGCGGCTTAGCGTCCGGCTAAAACGCCTCGATCCTCTTCCAACGGGGGAATTGGAGCGGAGATCAGGACAGATTTCCCTCAGGATTGCAGAAAGCTGAAAATCTTGTTAAAGTCTGTTTTAAGACGTTCGACCTGATATCGGCCGAAAGTTTACCGAAGCAGCTCAGAGTCGAGTGTAAGTGGTTTACGAGCGTATATAAAGCGGCTCGGCCGACCGGCAGCAGCAGAAACTCAGGGTCACCATGGGGAAACACTTCCACCTGTACGAGAACATCTCCAAAGTGGACCCCTTCGAGGGGCCGCAGTACTACCTGGCCCCGACGTGGGCCTTCCACCTGCAGGCCATCTTCATGGGCTTCGTCTTCTTCGTCGGAACGCCTCTAAACTTGGTCGTCCTGCTCGCCGTCGCCAAGTACAAGAAGCTGCGAGTTCCCCTCAACTACATCCTGGTGAACATCACCTTCGCCGGCTTCATCTTCGTCACCTTCTCCGTCAGCCAGGTGTTCGTGTCCAGCCTGAGGGGCTACTACTTCCTGGGCTACACCATGTGCGCTCTGGAGTCCGCCGTCGGGTCCATCGCAGGTAAACACGACGACAGGCCGGACAGGTGAGCGAACGTGAGGGTAGATGTGTGGATGAAACCTGTTGTCCTTCTGCTCCTCAGGTCTGGTGACGGCCTGGTCGCTGGCGGCGCTGTCCTTCGAGAGATACCTGGTCATCTGCAAACCCTTCGGCGCCTTTAAGTTCGACTCCAACCACGCGATGGCCGCCGTCGTCATCACGTGGATCATTGGAATTTTCTGCGCAACGCCGCCGTTCTGGGGCTGGAGCAGGTAAGCCGGAGGACGAGAACCTGACAGAACTCCTTCATGTTGGGAACACGGAACTAGATCATCCAGTTTGAGTGGCCCGGTTGTGTCGACATCACTGGTTTCAGTCGACCCAGCTACGATTTTTTAGTTCTCCAAGTGTTCTTAGAAAGTTCTGCAAACTATTGGTGGGATAACGTTCTCTAAAAACTTTCTTAAAACATTTTCCCAATTTTGCATTGGATGTCTTTCATTTGTTTTGATGGAACACCGCGGGAGAACGTTCTGTCATGTGTTCCCTCAACAACACTCCCAAAACATTCTCAGTTAACACATCATGTTGCAATAACATCTTTTCAGGAACGTTCTGTTGTCTGAGTGACATCCGGAAAATGCTTTTTAAAAGTTTGTTTGAGAACATTCTTGACCCTGACATTGTTCTCTAAACGTCCCCTGAATGTTCCAATAAAACGTTCCTTCTTGGTTAACTTTTAACCTCGTCGGAACATCATTCAGAATAAGAAACGTCATTCAGACGTTCTTCGAAAATTAGATGAAAATGTTTTCTTGAAAACATTGTTAGAACGTGTAGGTAACATTAGCCGGGGTTCTGAGAACGTTCCCTGCTCGTTGGGACTCCATTTGAGCAGCACATGCTAAAAAAAACAACAACAAATAAACAACAACACCGACAGAACCAGAACCAGAACCAGAACCAGACGTCTGCCTCGACTGGTCGGAGGGAACATAAACCACCAAAGCAGAACGATTCATCTGAAACTGTACCTAACATAGATAGAACAGGTGGTTCTGACTGGTTCTGTGGTTCCAGGTACATCCCCGAGGGTCTGGGCTGCTCCTGCGGACCCGACTGGTACACCCACAACGAGGAGTACCGCTGCACCTCCTACGTCTACTTCCTGATGATCACCTGCTTCATCTCGCCGCTGACCATCATCATCTTCTCCTACTCCCAGCTCCTGGGAGCGCTGAGAGCTGTGAGTAACAACGCCTCTCTCAGAAAGTTCTCTAAGGTTCCACTGAGGTTACCAGCAGAACGTTTACTTGTTTTCTTTTAGTTACCAGAAGTAGTAACTGCTATAAGCTAATTAAAGATGTTCTATAAATGTTGAGTGGGAACGCTGTGACATCCCTACGTTCTCATGAGGGCGTTCTTTTTTGTTATCATGGAACATTTTGAGAACGTCTCGTAGGTTCTATGAGGTGTTCCCTCGACAACATCCACAAAACATCCTGGTAACGTTGCAGCCTGGACGTTCCACCTTCGTTAATGGACAGGAACGTCCCAAAACGATGTTCATCTTCAAAACGTTGTTTGAATGTTGGCTTGAGAACATCTTTTCTTTGTGACCTTTGGGGAAACGTTTTACAGAAAAACGTTCTATAAGCGTTCCTCATTGACGTCCCACAAAATGTTCCTTTAAAGTTAAAATAACATTGCAGCATCAGCATTCAGAGGATGTTGTCAGGAAGAGACGTTCTCAGTGCAACGTTTGGAGAACGTTTTCGAATGACAGGACGTTATTTATAACATGTTGTAATGTGAAGGTTGAAGCATTCTGGCAGCCGTGTTCTGAGGACGTTCTAGAGACGTTGTTAAAGGAACACATTATTGAATCGACAAAACGCTCCCACAGCGTTTCCACAATGTTATACGACAACAAAAGGTTGTCAGAGCAACAATGTCGTCGCCGAACATTTTTACAACACCTTTAGTTACTCCACCTTTGAGAAGAACATTCTGACAACCGAAAGAAAACATTAGTAGAACTTTAGCAGAACTTTTTCAGAACAGAAACGTTCCGACAGTAAAGCGGTTGGATTTAGCTCAAGCTCTGCTCCGTCCGTCCTGCAGGTGGCCGCCCAGCAGACGGAGTCCGTCTCCACCCAGAAGGCTGAGAAGGAGGTGTCCAGGATGATCATCGTGATGGTGGGCTCCTTCGTCACCTGCTACGGCCCCTACGCCGCCTGCGCCCTCTGGTTCTCCTTCAGCGCCGACGAGAACAAGGACTACCGGCTGGTCACCATCCCGGCCTTCTTCTCCAAGAGCGCCTGCGTCTACAACCCGCTCATCTACGCCTTCATGAACAAACAGGTGAGCGGCTTCGGCCTCTGATCGCCGGCTTTGGTCCGTTAACCTCCTCAGGAAGCTAAATCCTGAACAAAGCCGCTTAAACGCCGACCGGCTCGTTGGATGAGCCGGAACCAGATCACAGGATCACAGGACGGAGATCTGATCTGATTTATATGCAGGAAAACAGTTTAATGAATAAAACAGAACAAATGAGTGTCTGTACAGGTGGAGAACGTTCAGCTTTGGCCTGTTTTCTGTTCATGTTTTGTTGTGATTTCATCCATAATTTAACATAACGAGGATAAAATAAAATCCTTTTAAACAACAGATGATTTAATGACGCTTCAGCTGATTTACATAAAGAAAAAAAAACGTAATTTTACAATCACATGTTGTCAAAAAATTAATTTCTATTTATAAAAATATAAAAAAATAAAACAACACCAATGTCTGATGAGGACATCAGGTACAGTTTGGGCCTTTTCTTACTTATTTATTTTTTAATCTTTGCTCGATACCGTCTGTAGTTTAACGTAGAAGAAAAGATTTGTAAAGAAAAATTTTTTGCAAAAGTTTTCAATCCTTAAAATGCACATTTTGTCTTTAAAATAACAGCTGATGTCTGTGAAATAATAGTTTTGGCTGATTTAAATTCAGTAAAACTGTAAATTTTAATGTCTAAATTAATAGTTTTTATTATTTAAGTTATGATATGCGACTTAAAATCAGTTAAATCATGATTTGCTGCTGTTTAATTGTTAATAAATGCATTTTTTCTTTCATATAACAGTAAATATTTGTCAAAAATAATGTTTTTTTCCAGATTGAAACAGTAAAAACACTGAAACAATCTGTGTGAATGAAACTTTATGAGGCGTAACTGAAGGCCTCAGACACTCAGTGAAGCGGTGATGTGTTGACGCTGAACCCGTTTCTTCCTCCTCAGTTCAACGCCTGCATCATGGAGATGGTGTTCGGCAAGAAGATGGACGAATCGTCTGAAGTGTCCTCAAAGACGGAGACGTCTTCGGTCTCCACAGCGTCTTAATGTTTGGAGCCGAAACACCACAAAGGACATTTGTTTCCATAAAGGACTTTTCCGGGCTCAAGAGTCGGAGACACGAAACTCTGTGAGAGCTCAGAAAAAGATTTATGACAAACCGTGTAAATACAGTTTATACTCAGAACCGAGAGTCCGAGTCCAGCCGAGCGCTATTCTACGTAGAACATGTTTGTTAAGATAAAAGGCAACGAAAAAACCCAATAAAAATGTCTTCAACCGTTTGTCTGTCCTCGCTTCAGTCGTGGTGCCGCTGAAGAACCAGCAGAACCGAGTCTTAAAGAACCCGTTTACACAGAACCAACCAGCTGACAGGAAACGTTCCCACAACGCTGGACACCAGAACCTACGAGCTCTAGTAAAGAAAACGTTTTGATCATTTCCAAGAACGTTCACATTAAGTTAGTATAACGTTCTGAGGATGTTGGCAGGAACACAGATTATGTTCCACGACAACAAAGCAGGAACGTTCTTGAGCCAACGTTCAAAACACGTTTACAAAATGTTCCCGTACTTTGATATGTTAATAATGTTCTGAGGATGTTTTAGGGATGACGTCGAGGGAACAAACTGTAGAACGTTCTTCTACAAAACATTCTCACAATGTTCCGTCAGAAGAACGTTCTCAAACCGACATTTAAAAAATGTTTTCAGATGAGAGAATGTTTTTGACAGAACGTTCCTGTAACGTGACACGTTAGAGGTGGATCATGGAACATTCTTCTGTGAAACGTTTTCATAATGATGACAAAGGGAACGTTCACAGAATGTTCTTTATAAGACGTTCTTGCAGTGCGACACAACAAAGATGGAACAACCTTCCTACAACGTTCTGAGGAACACACACGTTCTCGCATAAAACAATCACTCTGGCAACAAAAAACGTTCTCTACAAAACATTCAAAAAATGTTTTCCAGATGTTACAGCGTCCTCAGATGACAGAACGTTTTTATACAGAACGTTTAATAACGTTCCTGTAATGGGATGCATTAACAGTAGAACAGTCAGCCTCTTTGTTGATGGAATGTTAATAAGACGTTCTTTTATGAACACTTCCACAATGATAACGAAGGAACTGTGTAACATTCAGAAAATGTTTTCGAGATGTTATCGAGAGGTTGGATGACAGAACGTTCACAATACAGAGTCTATAAAACGTTGCCACAACGTTACATGATAAAAACAGAGGAACGTGTTCAGTGCACATTCGAGGTCTCACAATGTTCCCACCAAACGTTTTTAGAACATCTTGTGTCATCCTGGCTAAAAGACGAACATTCTGGGAACGGAAAGAAAACTTCCTGCTGAACAGATGAGCAGAACTTTGCAGAACTTTTTCCGAAAGTTCTATCTGGGAACTCGGAGAACGTTCCCAAAGCGATGATCTCACCTGTTGCCATTTAAAACATCGATTAACTGACTGATGCAGAACCTTCGTGAGGTGACATAAAAACGTTAACTTAACGTTGTGGAATTTAAACTTGAATTTATGCGATTTTAAACTAAATTCAAGTCGAGGGAACTTATTGAAATAAACATCAAAACGTCACCTTGAGCTGAAGAAGTCTCCACTTTTATCTTTACGTTAATGAAACGTTTGACTTTGACTGTAGAGGAAACGTTTCTTCAACTCAACGCAGTTTGTTGGTTGAACAGAATTTCATTAGAAATCATCCAACAAAAAAAAAAAAAGATGCAAACTGTTGTGCTTTTTTTTCTTTTGGTTTTGTTTAGTGCATCGGCTCATATCAGGGATTGTCTAGAAAAAATAAACCTTCTACAAAATATTAAAGCTTTGCTCCAAATACTGTTTTAGTTTGGTTTTTTTTAAAGTTTGGCGAGTTTTCTTTCTGATTAATGAGTCACAATAAACCACGTTTTACCCAAATGATGAACAGAAATGACAGAAACAAGTGCAAAACCAAACCGAAGTCTTAAAAAATGGACGAAATATAAAACAAAATCCTCAAATTGGACGTTTTACAAAAAGCAGAACCCGACCAGAACCCGACAGAAACACAAGTCTTCAAGTTTAACCTCAAAACAAACGGCAATTTTTTTTCTTTTCTGGAGGTTTACAAAATAAATTACTCTCCAAAAACGAGCTAAAAAAAATTCCTGTTTTGTTTTTTTAAATCTAAAACTCGTCGTGCCGCAGTAACGCCTCCCCGAAGTCCGTCACCTGACTCCCAACAAACACGTCGTACTTGTCCACGATCTCCTTCTTGCTCAGTTTTCCGTCCTGAATAAAGGAAAACAAAATAAAAAGCAGGAGAAACATCATCATTAACAACAAAAAAACACAACAAAGCAGCTAAAAACTCCTCCACACAACTATAAAGTTCAATCTGACTCATAATCCGCAAAAGAAATGCTAATTTGTTGTTTTAACACTTTAGTTTTACACAAATTAAACAAAAAAAAGATGCTACTTTATAATCAGGGGGCCTCACAGGAGCTTTTGAGTTCATTTGGTTCCTTTTGGACAAAACCACACGAGCAGATTCCCTTCGTTTTCATTCTTTATGCTAAGCTACGCTAACTAGCTTCTGGCTGTAGCTTCCTATTTAGCGTGGACGAACTGGTACCAGGTGGAAGAAACACAATGTGAGTAAATGTCGGCATAGAAATAATCTAACGATGTGTTTCCCACCTTGTTGGCGTCGGACTCGTGCAGCAGGTGTTTGGCTTCGGCCTCGGCGTGGTCGTAGTCGGCCGGGAGGATCCAGTCCAGGGTTTCCTCTCGGTCCATCTTCCCGTCGTTGTTCTTGTCCCTGAACTCTGCAAACTGCTGACGTTCTGTCGCCACCCAGTCCGGTTCCTCCTCGCCGTCCTCGGCCGTGTACATGTCGCCTGCAGAAAGAAGTCAAAAAGAAAAGAAACACTTCAAAACGTGTCCTCGGCTCGTTTATTTACTCTCAAGGCGCCGCTGGACGGAGCTTCAAAGGTAGAATCTGTCGGTAAATGCGTTCTGCTGGACGGCAGGACTTCCACAATGTTGACTCCAGATGTGAGACGACATGGAAGCTGACTGAGAAGATGATTTCAAATGAAGCTGCAAAACCTCTGTGACTATAATCTGTAGAAGTGCTGCCCCCTGCTGGCTGGACTGGGTCTCAGTCAGCACCAGTTCGGCAGCTGATCCTTACAATACAGGTGCTGTTCTCCTGTCCTGCCTTCAGTCTTTAAACTAAGTTTAGTCCCACAAAGTCAGGACATTCAGTGGAGAGGTCCAGGTCCTTGAAGTCCACAGAGGAGGGTCCAGATTGATCACTTTAATGGACTTTTTCCATCATTTCTGAGCCTCAGAACTTCATCAGAACAGCAGATAGACACATGACATTTAGGAGGAAGAACACATCTGGGTTCTGCTAGAACCTGACACCAGATCAGTTCTACATCCATCCAGGTGTCTCAGTCTGAACACTGGACCTGGTTCTGTTTGTTTTCTCTAGAACCAACTTGGACCCCCCTCTATGGACTTTGAGGACCTTGAACTGTCTTTATAGGTTCCGTTGTATAAAGTTAAGAAGAATACCTACCGACAACTGTAGAGACCATTAATATCTTAATAACTCAGTACTCCAATAGAAATAGTCTATCTGCGGTACTGATGAAGTTCTGAGGCTCAGAAATGATGGAAAAAGTCCATTAAAGTGATCAATCTGGACCCTCCTCTGTGGACTTCAAGGACCTGGACCTCTGGAACATTCACAGTCTGAAGGTAGAACTTTAAATGTCTGATCCGAGTCCAACGAGTTACTCTGAAGTCGCATCTTAAAGCTGATTTAAATAGAAAATAACGATAATGCAGGTTTTTTTTACCGATGTATTCTTTGAGGTCGATGAAACCGTCTCCGTTCTTGTCGATGTCCTCGATTGTTTCCTGTGAAAGTGAGCAGACGGTTAAAAATCAAACAGGAAGTACCTTTTCATTACTGTACGACAGTTTTGACTTGAACACCTTTCATCTTCTCCTGGTTCTCCTGACGTTGTTCTCACCTGAACCACGACGTCCTTCATGTAGTCGTGATCTTCAGGGTGAAGGAACGCCGTGAACTCCTGTTTGTCTGCGATCAGGTCTTCGTTCCTGTCGGCGACTTTGAAGCGTCTCTCGTCCCTCGCCATCATGAGCATGTAGTTGTACTCCGAGTCCGCCTGAGGGTCATCTGAAGGAGAACCAATCGGAGAACCGATCAGAGAACCGCTCTGCTGATCGGTAATCTCAGAATAACATTTTTTAAGTGGTTCTTCTGAAGGTGCCCTCCCCACCTGAAGAACTAGTTTTTCACCTACTTTAGGTGGTTCTTTAGAACGTTCTGCATTGTTCTTAGGTTTGGCAGCAGGTACCAGCATTAAGCTGGAGCTGAAACTAAAGACTATTTTCATCCTGAATGAAAACATCAGAAAGCAGTGAGAGATGTTCCTCACAACGTCCTGTAAGTGAAGAATCCCCTTATTCAGTGGAAGGTTCTTCACGTACTTTTTATGTTTTTAAAGGGTTCTTTATGTTTTTTGGAGTTCTTTGGTTTGGTGGCAGGTAACGGCATCGAATCCATCTCTTATGTTCTGTACTGAACCAAGTGGGCCCATAAAGAACGATCCTGAGAATAGTCCTAAAGAACCCATGTCTGATCAACTTCTTTAGAGGGTTATTTATGGTGCCTGTTGATGGTTCTCTGAGGGAGTTTTGACGACTGTTTTCAGGGATGGTTCTGTAGATAACCTCCTACTGAAAGGTTCTTTGTTTAACCAAAGCGGTTCTTCTAGGGCATCACTGTGGGAGCCATGTTTGGTTCTACCTGAGCTCCACCGAGACCCGGTGGGAACAGAGTGCGTTCATGTTCTCACCCAGATAACTGCCGTAGGTGACGTTCTTGTACTCCTCCCAGCTGATCTGGCCGTCGCCGTTCAGGTCGAAGTCCGTCCACTGATGTTCCACGCTGTCGAAAATGTGCTTCTTCTGAGCGTTCTTGATCCAAACCTTCAGCTCCTCCTCGGACACGAAACCGTCCTGATCGCTGTCGATCTTATCCACGATGATGCTGCAGACAAACGGAGACGTTAGCGAAGGTTTGTTTTATCGCTGTTCTGGTTCCACGCTGAGAACGTTCCCCTGAACCCTGAACGGAAATGTTTAATCTAATTGTGTTTGTCAGCTGATGGAGTTTCTCCTGAACTCACCCGAGCCTCCGTTTGCTCTCCTCTGGTGGAAGATGGTCGAAGGTTTTGGCCTCATCTTGACCCAGAAAGGCTTCGTGGTCGTAGTCGTTGTTCTTGTCGTCGTTGTGTTCCAGGTTGCTCAGAGGTTCCTCGTGATGGACGCGGGTTTTCTTCTCGGTGGGTTTGCTGCTGCCGTAGACGACGCAGAGGACGAAACACATCAGCATCGGACGGATCATCCTGAAAGACTGACAGAAAACAACAAAGTCAAACACCCGAAGCTGCTTCATCGAAGGGTTTAAACTTTTCTGAGCCGAACTGAACACAGACTGAATTAATGTTCATCAGTCGTGTAGAATAACCATAAAGACAGTTTTAGGGTTTCTGACGTTTCACTTTTTACTGCACAACTTTCATCTGACAGCTGAAGTTATATGAAGATCATACAAAAAAAGGCAGTTAATAAAGTCTGAATGTTTGTTCTAGTTTAAATCTGGAAGTATTTAAAGTCACATCAACCAGTTAAAACATTAAAGAACAAACTTGTCACTTGTGCATAGGACAAATTCTATTTTAGAATTTTTCTGACTTGCAACCTAAATGCTAGCTAACAAGAACAGCGATTGCTTTTTTTTTTTTTTTTGTAGCTAGCTAGTGCTACAGCAAGCTAGTAATGCCTTACGATATTAGCTTTAGCTTTAGCTATCTAACTAGCTGGTGTTACAGCAAGCTAATTAGCCTAGCACTGTTAGCTTATCAGAAAATCAGTCAATTATTTAAGTAGTGCTACATTAAAAGCAGAATCAGTGGCTAGTTGTTTAGTTAGCTGGTGCTACAGCATGCTAATACGGCCTGAAACTATTAGCCTTATGTCAAGCAAGCTAGTTAGTTAGGTAGTGCTACAGCAAGTTAATGTAGCATGATGTTATCAGCATAACATTAAAGCTAGCTATTTACCTAGCTAGTGAAACAGCAAGCTAATACAGTGCAACGTTATCAGAGAAACAATAAAGCTAGCTATTTACCTAGCTCGTGTTACAGCAAGCCAATATAGTATAATGTTATCAGAGAAACAACAAAGTTAGCTATTTACCTAGCTAGTGTTACAGCAAGCCAATATAGTATAATGTTACCGGAGAAACAACAAAGTTAACTATTTACCTAGCTCGTGTTACAGAAAGCTAATACAGCATAATGTTACCAGAGAAACAATGAAGTTAGCAATTTACCTAGCTAGTGCTACAGCAAGTGAATGTTGCCTAACACTAGCTTAACATAAAGTCAGCTATTTAAGTAGCTAGTGCTACAGCAAGCTAATAGAGCACAATGTCTTTAGCATAGCATAGTCAGTTAGCTCACGCCCCCGCGAACTAATATAGTATAATGTTACTGACATATTTACGTTATTCACTTAACATAAAGTCAGCTAGTTAGCCTTCAAATAGATAATAGTTGTTTTAAAGTGCTGGTTGGCTTTTGTTCTTGCATTAAATGTAAATAAAATATTGAATTTCCCTTCTGGGATAAATAAAGTATTTTTTTCATTTCAGATGATCATGACTTTAAATTCCAGAATCGCAGACCACAGGCTGTTTTTTTTTTTTGTTTATTTCACATATTACAGAAAAGTATTTCTAATGTTTTGGCAGAATGAACGGACAGCCCTTCATATGACTGTCGTGTCAACAGTAGAGACACTTTGAACACGTTTGTTGATGAGAAGCTGCTGTTCTGTTGACACGTTTCATCATCTGACCTCAGATCTGTTTCCTGTCATGTCATCAGACCAGTAGAACCAGAATGAAGCTCCAGAAAAAGGTCTGAGATGAAACCACAGGTCATGTGATGGTCATTAGAACCTGAACCGGGTGTGTCTGGTCTGGGTTTTAGCTCCTGCTGATCCACAGGTTGACCGTCCTGTTCCTCCAGGTGTTTAAATCACTGAATCTTCACACGTTCTGACCACAAACCAAAGTGTCTCCTGATAACTGACACGTTCATGACAACTCAGAGGCTGTTTGCTGTCTGTAGAGATAAACTGGATTAAATTAAGGTTTATATCTTTCTTTTTTCTCTCTCTCTCCATTTTAAATGCACTCTCTGAAACACACCGCCTGTGGACGGAGTTTGTATTTGTTGTTGCTTCACTGCCTCCATCCTGCCGCCTGATTATTGATTATTGATCATCAGCAGCTGATCCTCATCCCTCTGACCATGTTTGGTCAAAACCCTGAACTCCGCACTAACGAACCAACAAACCGCATTTAAAGCTGCGGATTCGCCGCAAACCGCACCGACGCACTCACCTGTGAACGTGCTGCTCGTGCACCTGGCGGCGGGTCCCGGTGTGTCTCCGGTGCTCTTCGTGCTCACTGACTCTTCTGGCTCCGCTCGCCGACCATCACACACTCCGGCCCCGCAGTCCGGTTTCCGTCCGGCCGCCCGTGATGCAGCCAATCAGGAGCCGTCCGGAACTCTTCTCCCGATCTGATTGGTCCACTTCAGCAAGGCGCCCAGCGTTCGGGCGGGTACGTCAGAGAGAGCCGTCATCGCACCGCTTCTCATTGGCTGTTTCCTACGCGTGGACCAATGAGCGAGTCGGCGGTGAGAAAAGTAACAGCGATGCTGCCACGTCCTCAAACACTGAAGCAACAACAGACCGGAGACAACAAAGACAACACAGGAGTTTACATCAGCAACAAGGAGGAGGCTTCAGGCAGAACACTGAGAGCTCATTAAATAAGGCTGGGCTGCTAATTATGACATTAAATATAAAATCTGAAAAGAAGCCGGTTATTAGGATTAAAAATAACTCGGTCTTTGGCTTCAAACGCTGATGTTTCCCCGATTCTAACTGCTACAGAAATGTTGGAGAAAACCACAACAAAAAATGATGTCTATATACTTTTTAAAAAGCAGTTTGATTTCTGTTAATTTAGTTCATTCAGAACTGATGGTCTGAAAAATGTTATATTTTTTACAATGACTCAAAATTTCTGATGTAAAAATAAAATAAAATCACAAATCAACAGGATGAAACCTGCAATGAGGAGGAATTTAAAGCAGCTATTAGTCTAAATCTGATTTAAAAATGGTTCACAGAAGTTCTTCAAAACAAAAAAAGTCTGCATCGAAAACAATAAGACATGCTGCTGTTATTTTGTTTTCAGTCACTAATTGTTCTGATCAGTATTAGTCCTGATCTCTCTGTTTACATCATGCCATTGTTGTTTTTATTTTATTTTTAATTATTGAAAAATGATAATATACAGAAATAATTTCCTATACAATAAGAGCAAAGTGGATTATTAATAATGATCACTCTGGGATGAGCCTGTAATCAACACCAGCACAGATTTTAAAAACATTATTTAGTTTTTTGTAGTGTTTGTTAATAAAAACTCACACTGAGGACGTAATACAACAAATGTCAATTAAAACAAAATACACAAACTGTTATTATATTCATATAAACCGATACCTGATGCTGCTGTTGTTTATGAAAATCACATTTAAAAAGTATTTTCTATTTAATAAACGCAAAGAGGGATTTTAATTAATTTTTAAAAGCATTATCACAATGTGGGATGTGAACATTAATTCTGATGCATTACTACCTTTTTTTAACAGAATAAGATAAAACATTTCACATGATGATTTACAGTCCATGTAAAATGTTCTCGTTGTTTTTTCCTTCTGATTGGCCCCGAAACACGCGTCCATCAGGAGAATGATCAGTTATTATCAGATTAGAAATGTTTACTGGGATGTAATTCCTGACTTGTAGGTACCTGAAGAAATGAGAAGAGTCCAATGACTGGGTTTAGGGCTGAACCAGGACTTTTCTCTACAATAGCAGCATCTTGTCAAGTTCTGGAGACGTATTCCAGCCAAGACACGACTTTCTGTTCACGTACTTCCAGTGTAAAAAGGTTTACGAGTGTGAAGGAGGAACTTTTCAAAATGTTGTCTGATGAAAGCCGAGGTGACAGAAACGTGGTTCTACGACTGAAAACATTCGATGCTCACAGGTTCACATCCAGGAAACACCGACAGCTCCTCACAACTATCTTCAAATATTAATAAAACGTCTGTTTATCTTGTAAAATGTCTAAAAATATGAATTAAATGCCTCAAAACAAACAAAAAAGCGTTCAAAAAAAACTGACAGGGAAATGGGTCAGTAACAAACAAAACCCAGCTGCTGTTTCATTAGTTCTGTTTTAAAACTAGAAGCCGCTGAAGAGTCAAAAATAATCTCAGCTGGTTTGTTTTTAATCAGGCGGACTAAGGGCAGCTACTTCCTGAAAACCAGCCAATAGCAGAGCAGCAACAGCGCAGTCGGATTTGCATACAAATAGAAACGAACAGACAGGACTTCAAGCTTCTCATTTGAAGAAACGAACCAGAACCAGAGAACCCAGAACTGCAGAAAAAACTAAAACATTTTTTGGGGTTTGTTTTTACCCAAACCTGGTATATGACATGTTTCCTTTCGATATGTTTCACCTCCACTGCATTTCGTCACCATGTCGGTTCCAGTTAAAGCTCGTGTTAACCTGTTCAGCCCTGAGCTTACATCCCCACAATAACAAGAGTTTATCTGCAACCACACGGTCTGTTTGAATCATTCTTGTGTCATAATAAAAGGAACACTTGTAAGATGTTGTGTTCAGATGTGTAAATATCAGTTTATATGTGTTCCTGGTTCAGAGTAAATGAAGATGGCACACAGCACAGAGGAAACATTTTCAGGTTCGCCTAAAAATAAATAAAGAAAATCAAAAACAAACTATATATATTCCACTAGTATGTCACTGATGGTGTTCAATACATCCACATACAGCAGCTCTTTAGTTTCCTGAACATCCAACCGGACCGCTGACGTGTTCCACGTCCTGTGCGTGATGCTGCTCAGACTGCTGTGAAGCTCCTGTGGTGACGTAAGGCTGTATCTCCGTAATGATTGGTCGATTTCAGTGGTTGACACCGCCTTCGAATCGTTAGACCCAATAGAACATAGCGATAGTCAGCAAGATGAGATTGACAGCGCTGTTAGCCAATCAGAATCAGTCAAGCGCCATCTTGAAGACGAACCGCTTGCTGTTCACTCCTTAGCTCCCTGAAGCTAACGGATATGTATAACAACGGCTGACGGACGGAACCGCCGGCGACCATCTTGAGTGGAGGCAGCCCTGTGGCTAGTTAGCCTGTGGCTAGTTAGCCTGTGGCTAGTTAGCCTGTGGCTAGTTAGCCTGTGGCAAGTGAAGGAAGGTGGGTAAATACTCTTATCTCTCTGAAATCTCGATGGATCTACAAACGGGTTGGTTTCTTACAAACGTTATTAACGTCTTTCAATTCAAATAAAAAAAAAAAACAACTAATAAAATAGGTTATCATGAGGGTGGCAAACAGCTGCAGCGGCTCCTACCTATGTTCTATATTTTTAGCTCTTTTATATTCATGTAGTTGTATTAGATTAGCATGATGGAGATCCCAAGGAAGTTGTTTTAATCTGTTTAAAAAAAACAACAACTTTTTAAGAACTTTTAAAGTGCGTATCTGACGTTGGGCTCCATCGGTTTAACTAAAGTCGGCGCTGAGCAGGATTCTTCCAGGAAGCTGCAGAGTGAAGATGGCAGACTGTTGACACCAGAGCCTGTGGGATCAGCCCTCACCTGTAAGATATGAGATGCTAACGGTTAGGGACCAGGAGACACCGTGCCTCTGGTCAGGATGAATCCACTTCACTTTGCTTCACCCCAAAACCCAGCAGCAGGTTGGAAAGGCATCTTATTAGAAAGAATCCTAGTTGTGATGTCATTTGTCACAGCTTCAGACAGAACCAGTGGGTTTTTCAGAAAGTCCTGAGTGACGTTTGTCCTCCACCAGGTGGCAGAAGCGATCAGCAAGCCTCTGTGTGACGCTGACAGAACCACCCTGGTGTCCAGCGGCGGCGGAGAGGTCGGTGCAGCCCGACTGTCAGGGGAGGTTCTGGACGTCATGACCCGGCTGTCTGACGGTGCAGAACCTGACCGGGGTCAGCATCTCTCAGGTAGCTCGTTCACTGCACGTCACACTTCACTGGACTCTGGTCTGATCCAACAAGTCATGTGACATTCAGCTTGATGATCTGTTCTGTAGGTGGACTCTGGTACCGGCTGAGGAGAATCAACCAAACCAGCGGCCAGGCGGGTCCACTCTCCTTCTGTCAGCTGCTGTTTTAGCCGTCAGTTCTTTCTCATCATTTATTTCTGACTGAATTCATGTTTAATCCGTGGAGGGACGATCGATTCGTCAGTATGTTTATAAAACTGTTACTGGTGGTTACGAGTTCACAGCCAGTAAACTTCTACGGCATCTTTTTCAGCTTCATGTGTGATTTTTGGGATTTTAGGGGCAGAGTTTCAGAAGGAGCCTTTGCTTGAGGCGCACCAGGTCATTAAAGGTTCACTAAACCCAACACGTCTCGGACTTCATTATCATTACCGAGCACTCTGTCACACACGACTGTTATCTAGCTGAGGTTTGTTTTGTTGTCAGAGCGCCGTGATGGTCATTTTACACGCTGCTGCTCTTTCTGGTAGATCTTTACGGTGGTGGGAGCTCAGGAAGATTTGCTCAGTTTATCTGCATTGTATGTCCAATTCAAACTAATCTAAACATCCATCCATCATCTACACACCGCTTCATCCTCACCAGGGTCATGGGGGGCTGGAGTCTATCCCAGCTGACTCAGGGTGAAGGCAGGTTCACCTGGACAGGTAACCAGTCTATCACAGGGCTACACTTAGAGACAGACAACCAAGCACACTCACATTCACACCTACGGACAATTTACAATCACCAATTAACCTCAGCATGTTTGTGGACTGTGGGAGGAAGCCGGAGAACCCGGAGAGAACCCACGCTGCACGGGGAGAACATGGAGACTCCACGCAGGAAGATCCCGGGTGTCCTCACCGGGACGTGAACCGGCGACCTTCTAGCTGTGAGCCGCTAACGGTGCTAACCAGCTGTGCCCTAATCTAAACAGAAATCTCACATGCTGATGACACCAACTCTAACATTACCCTCAGAGTTCATGGTTTTTTAATGCAGTGTAAAAAACAGTTCCCTCCTAATTCGATGCTGCCCTCCTCGTGTCAACCTTCAACACTGTGGTCTCTGAAATCTATCAGCTTGAGGCCTACAGGAGCTTGAACCTGCATCTCTTGGTTCAGGCGAGACTTCACCGCCCTGCACATCAATGATATAGATATAAGCATGTACACCTGAAGGAAAGTGGTGACACTGAGGCCAGTTATGTAGCAAACTAGATTTAAATGTCTAGCTTTAGCCTGATATCGCAGCCACGGGAATAACTCTGTGTGTTTATGGGATGAGCTGTGTGTTAGTATCATCATGATGTGAAGGGATGCTGGACTGTCTACCTTTCCTCACATCATAAGCCAGTCACATGCCAGCCTCTACCTCACCGTCACCTCTGAAACGCTCTGTAATGCATCAGATGGTCCTTAAACACTCGACAATCATTAGATATTTGCTTTTCTTTGACATGTAGATAATTAAATAGATGTCCGGTTTTATTGGAGCTGTATTTAACCAAGAATGTTTTGTTTTTTTTCCACCTCCAGCTCTGAACACATCAATGTTTGTCTGACTGTGATGCAGCCAAATGTTCTGCAGCGGCTCTCTGACGGTGGATCTGATGCTGTCGTTACAGGATGCATGCATCACTACTGTGAAGGTACCAGATGACCTGCTGCTTAACTATAGAAACGTGAGCTTTGTGTTTCTGGAGTGTTTGAAGCGCTGCTACGTGTGGATATAGATGCACTCATACAGATCATCCACTGATTAATAGACAGTCAGTGTACTGTTTGAATAAATGCTCTTTGGACAGAAATGTGGGCCACTGAAAACTCAATTTGAACAACTCAACTCGAATAAATGTCATAAAAATTAGAATTTGAATCTCCTAATTTGAATGTATTTGATTCAAACTGTATTCCAATGAGCCTAAGGCTGAATGTAATATTTTAAAGTTAAACGCAGTTGTTCTGAAAGTATATTTGATCTGCGCCAAAAATTCAACCGTCTACATTTAGCTGTAACGAGTCAGAATTAGTTCTTGACATTTATATTCAGATTGCAGTCCAGGTATCAGCAGATAGTTCATCGTTTACTCTGAGGTCTCTGACGAAGGAAGAAGTGAAGCTGAAAACCCACCAACTCGTTGATGACGCAGCGAAAGAAGAGAAATTAATCTGAGTCTGTGCTCCAGTTTGGAACTACTTTAAAATTCACAATCTGAGGATAAAAACTCTCAACGAGTGCAGCCACAGAAAGACTCCAACAGAAAAGGTTTATTTTTGTCGCTTCATTAATCTGACTGTCGATGACAAAACAGGAAGGTGCATTTTAATTTATGTTTTATTGGTAAAATCTGCAGGTGCAAACGGGTAAATTGGGGTAAAAAAGTGGTTTCTCTCTGCAGCCGTCTGAAAGCAGTCAGAAGCAGATTAGAGCAACAGTCAATATAATAATAATAATAATAATAAACATGTTTGCAGTGAGTCTGCTATAAATACATTAATGCTATAAAGCAGGTGCTGCCTGATGCCTCCTCTGTCTGCAGTCATTCTGCCACTGAGACGCTGCACCAGTGATTATTATTTACATAAATAAAAACTATAATTTATCTGGTTAAGGTGCCCTTAACACTCCCTGATTCTCAGTAACGTTTTATTCACTTCAGCTGAACTGGAGGTAATGAAGACAGCAGTTGGAGGATTGGAGCTGCTTTAGTTTAGGAGTTTGAAAGATTTCTAATTAAAAGCTACAGAAGTAAAATGCAGTAAAATAACTAAAGCACCTCCCTGGTCTCTCTCCACATAGTTTTATAAAATAAAGATAAAGAGAGTTTGTCGTGTGCAAAGTAAGAAAACATGCGTCCCTGTACGATGAAATTATTTCTTTGTTGTCCACATCTGATGCCAATAATATAAATGTAGTCTGTAATAAGGACTGAACACTGAATGAACCAGAAGGTCTGAGTGAAGCCGGCAGCGTTTGATCGTTAATATGCAGAACAGCTGGTGAGTGAAAAGAACAGTAAAGTCAAACTAAATGTGTTGTCAGGTAGAGCTGGTTTATGTTGTGGTGTTGATGTGAAGCTGATGCTGCAGCAGAAAGAGGATTGTGTGTTAATGTAAACACGAGCTAATGAGCGGTGCAGCATGTTGATGAGGATCAGAGCCATTAGAGGGACTTAGTGGCTCTTAAAAGAGCCGTTGTGTTGAGGCTGTGAGCGCCGCCGGCTTTAAGCCCTCTCTCCGCGGATGCGGCGGGCCAGCTGGATGTCTTTGGGCATGATGGTGACCCTCTTGGCGTGGATGGCGCACAGGTTGGTGTCCTCGAACAGCCCCACCAGGTAGGCCTCGCTGGCCTCCTGCAGGGCCATGACGGCCGAGCTCTGGAAGCGCAGGTCGGTCTTGAAGTCCTGGGCGATCTCACGCACCAGGCGCTGGAAGGGCAGCTTGCGGATCAGCAGCTCCGTGGACTTCTGGTAGCGGCGGATCTCCCTCAGAGCCACGGTACCGGGCCTGTAACGGTGGGGCTTCTTGACGCCGCCGGTGGCCGGGGCGCTCTTACGGGCGGCCTTGGTGGCCAGCTGCTTCCTGGGAGCCTTTCCTCCGGTGGACTTACGGGCGGTCTGCTTGGTTCTTGCCATTGTTTGACTTTCTCGCTTCTTGGGTTGAAGTGAATATGAGAACCTGCAGCGAGCTGCTGCGTTTTATCCACAGCGGCGGACGCTGATTGGCTCGCTCTGGGCACGTGACGCAACCAATCAGCTGCTGCGCACAACGCGTTTCGAAATTCAAACTGACCTATCAGGAGAGTCGCTGAGTGTCGGCTGCTGCTGTTGGGCGCCTTTTTTTTAGCGCTAAAACAAATAAATAAAAAAATAATAAAACCCACACGATTAACATGACTAATGTAAAGTAAAATATGAAAATATAAACTGAAATGGTCGACAGACAAAGTGACAACATGTTTGGGTGTTTTGTTTTGTCTGCAAACTACAATGAAGGAGAATAAGATCAAATATCTGTCATTCAAATATTAAATACAGTCAGAAAACACGATTCAATCAGAAGCAATAAATGAACAGGCTTCACAACAGGAGATTCAATTTAGTTTTCTAATGAAATAATTCATATTGGTATCACTTTATAAATAATAATAATAATAACAACAATAATAATAATAATCAGTTTTCTCTGCTGTACTGGTCATTCCTATTACTGTTGGGAAACATCAGGAACATCTGTTGCTTTGCTCGTGTTTTGTGTGAATCATACGATGTAAACTATAAAAGTTCAGACAACATGTCAACAACAACCCTGTCTGTCTTTTATTACTTTGGGTGTGTCCCTGTTGCTGATTGGTCCGCTGCGTTCACGTCATGAGCAGCTCAGTGATTGGAGGGTGAAAAAAAAAATCAAACGTCACCACTGACAGATAAAGATTAGAGCAAAGACAGATTTATTTAAAAAAAAAACCTTTTAAATGAACAAATATGACATGATGGATACACACAACATGTCTATGGTTCTAAATGTTCTAACACACATAACTAATGTTTCTGTATATTAGCTAATAGTAAGGCTTATATTTGTTCAATAAACATATGGACAAAGTCAGAACACACTTAATATGTTTATAGATTTACTTGAAAAATCAGTGCAATCTTTATGTGTAAATTTAATTTTTTTAATGTAAAAAAATGTATTCAGACAGCAGTGAAATCTGAAACAATGTAAACAGACTGAAGTCATTTTACTGTGAGGAGTTCAGGCTCCACGTTTTAAACCAGGAAATAAATATTGACAACAGGAACAGTCAGTGCTGCAACAGTAAAATAGAAACTGCACTATATGCAGCTGTAAAAAAAATATGTTTACAGAAAACAGTTGAGGTTGAGCTTCTCATTTCTAGTAAGAGTGAATAAATATTTACAACAGGACCATGAAGGCACATGAAGGTTCAGTCATCAGGTTCTGTGCTCCTCAGAACATGTGGGTGGCTCTTAAAAGAGCCTTTGGATGGACGAAGTAAGTTCAACGTTTACTTCTTGGCTGGAGCTTTCTTCGCTGCAGGCTTCTTGCCTCCAGCTTTCTTGGGAGTGGACTTCTTGGGAGCTGGTTTTTTGGCCTTCACAGGCTTGGTAGCTTTCTTTGCTACAGGCTTCTTCGCGCTCTTTGCAGCCGGCTTCTTCTCGGCTTTCTTGGGGGTTGATTTCTTGGTCGTGGTTTTCTTGGCTACTTTCTTCTTCGGGGTTTCTTTGGGCTTCTTGGCTGCTGGTTTCTTAGCAGCGGAGCTTTTCTTGGCGGCCGGCTTGCTCTTCTTGGGTGTTGAGGGGCTTTTCTTAGGCGCCACCTTCTTCTTCTTGGGCTTCTCGGTTGGCTTGCCGCACTTGAAGGAGCCAGAAGCTCCGGTTCCTTTGGTCTGTGTCAGGAGTCCTCTGGCCACCATGGACTTGATGGCGCGTTTGAGGTGAGCCCCGTTGTGCTCCACATCGTAGCCCTCGCTGGCGCAGTACCTCTTGAGATGGATGTAGGACACCCCTTTGCGTTCCTTGGAGGCGGACACCGCCTTCAGGACCAGCTCGGCGGCGCCGGGTCCGGCCTTCTTCTTCGGCTTCACGCCGGTGGCCTTCTTCTTGGCGGGTTTGGCCGGGGCGACCGGCGCGGCGGGTGCAGCGGGAGCGACTTCTGCCATGATGCTATCAGAGAGAGACGTCAGATCAGACTGATGTGATCTCCGAGCTCACGCTGGTACTTAAACACAGCATGAGAACCGTGGAGACTCAACCCGCCCGCCTGCTCTCCGCCGCAGCGGCAACACGCTCTCACTTGTGTTTTCTCTTCGCACTAAAACCCACAAAATACACGTGTGGAGGACAAAGTCGAGCGGACACTTGAAGCAGGCTGATAGCGGAGGACGTCCTCTTCCTATTCATGCCCCATAAGCACCGACACTTTTCTGCCTTTTCTCCAGGAAGCCTCCAAACCTCCCCGATCGGCCGCTGTGCGAGGCTCTGCTCCGAGACTTTTCCCTCACATTTCTCCTCTAAAAGCTATAAAATCCAACCCAAACCCCCTGAAACCACTTTGCCAGCGAGAACACACGTTCGTTCACAGATGTGACCGGACGACAGGCAGCTCTGATCCACAAGCTTTCTCCAAAGCGCCATTGTTTTGCCGCCTGCAAACACACTGCTGCTGCTGCTGCTGCAGGCCGCGGCCTCACGTACTTGCTCTCAGTGTTGCGCCTTCAAATGAACTCAGCTGATGTTTGCTGACTCATAATCAAAGCTCACCTGGATCACACCTGTCACAGTCTCACAGGTGTAACACACGTCAATCACAGCAAACAGCACAGACCCTGTCACACACACACCTTCAGCTGATTCTACGTCTACGACCAGCTTCACTCACACACACACACACAAACTCTCACATCTCACTCTCATGTGACACAAACTCATTCAAACGTGTGCATCTTCAATACTTTCTACATTTTACACACTCTGTATAACATCAACTCTGTCTACGTGTAGAACAACCTGTACATCATCACCGTAGGCCTCTATATGTCTTCTCTGTTTGAACACTTTCACTGACGTGTCCCAAACTTTTGCACTAAAATGCTTTTGAATGAAAACACTTTGACAAAGTGATGTTTGTTCTTCATACTTATATTCAGTCACTTTGCTGATAATCCAGTGAGCGTCCACAGGTCCAGTAGAAATGCTGCTATGTTTAACCACTGGTTCATTGATATCAACTGGGGTGGACAAAATAACAGAAACACCTCTTTGTGTAATTAACAAACTGCAGTTCAGCAGCTCTTTAAATGAGTTTCAACGAAGACTGAACATCACCATGTTCATAAAGGACGATTTATTGTTGAACCTGACTTAATTAGTTTTACTTAGGTGCTAATTTGGTCTCAGAGAGGAAAAGTGACCAATCCCTGACGTTTTCAGACGCTGTACTCTATTTGGATATTTTAGGTTAAATTATGTTCGTTTGGTTTCTGCAACTATATCTTAATTTTTCTTGAAAAGAAGATGGTGTAGAACTTTACTGATATTTATGAGATGCTGCGCAATTATCCGGCAGGAACTGGAGGAACTAAGAACTCTCCTGAGAATCCTGATTTAAGGTTTTCGTTATTATGATGTTATTGTTATTGTGTTATTATGATATTACGCCAGCCACATGGAGCCGCCAATAGAACAATCTGTGCTCTTCACTTTCTGAAATGTGAACAAATATTGTAAATATGACATCTCAGGTCAGACCTACAGTCTTGATGACAGTCTGGGAACGTTCTCCAAACCTACAGTGGTGTTGGTTTTAATGCGGCCTCCTGTTGGAGCTGGATGGTGACAGAAGATGATCTATTGGCACCAACAGGTTTCACCAGAATAAAGAGGAAGTGAGGAGACCGTTTATTTATTCAAGTGGCCTCCATCTGATAACTGTTGTTGTCACTAGTTCATGTTCTGTCACAACCAGCTCAACGTATGAGGAGGACAATCGACCGGCTCGGCCACTGCAGGACCTCAATGTGCTTGTTCCTGACCCACTCCTTCACGTTTCCACCTCCGGGCTTGACTGTATGGATGGTGGTTGTCATATAAAATTTAGTTCTTCCTGTTTACTGTGTTAGAGCTTGCAGTGCCACCCAGTGGATGTTGGTGGGGAATATTTCTGAGAGTTGACTCCTTCGTTACGATTGTTGGTTGATCGTCAACACATGAGGCAGGTCAAAGTTTACAAAGACCATCTTGTCAAACGGTGAAACTGATCCACACAGTGCGATGTTCTGTAGCGATGAAGCTGAAGCTGAAGTGCACGTGTCAATAAAAACATCACAGTGCTTCTGACAATGTGTTGAGTTTATTCCAGCAATATATAAAAAACAAAAGTTTATTGATCAAAATTATTTATTAATCAAATAAACATTATATATATATTTTTTTTTCTCCAAAGAAATGTTCAAAGCACCACAACGATTGGCCGATTTCAGGCAGAACTGTCACATGACATGAAACAGAAGCTGCAGAGTGCGAACCAGAGTGGAGCAGTTTGTTGAAGTTGTACATTCAAGCTGCTCTTCATACTTTTGGCCACCAGATGTCACCAAAGAGGACTGTGTTGAGACGCTTCCAGTCATGAGCTTTAGTGCTTCAGAAAGCTTCATTTGGTCATCACTCATGTTCTGTGTTTTGGAAAGCTCTGTTTGTCAGTTACATGGTCCGGGTTTATTGTTTACGTCTGCTGTGGTACACGTTATATCTTTGCATCTTTCACAGTGTGGCTCCTTGTCGCTTGTGTATTCATATATTTGTGTGTGTGTTATTTCAGTTTTGCAAAAGTAAGAGAATGTATCAGGAGGACTACTGTGTCTCAAGACATTCAAGAAGTAGTGGTCCGTCAGGTCCAGCAAGGCCTTCTCTGCAGACCTGAACTCATCAGAATCACTGACTTACGTTGTAATATTTTCCTATGGATCTTTTAACTTTATTCCCAACAGTCTATTCTCTTCATCTCATAGTGTCTCTGGGCTGTGGTGCTTCCAGCAGTGTATGTTTATATTAGAGCTTTTATCCAGTCATATTTCATGTGTTGCCAGGGTCACAGAAATCTGCCCTGAGGCCTTCAGGATCAGAAGTGCATCGTAATAAAACTGTTGTTTTAACCAACCAATCAGATCGAGAGTTGGTGGTCCCAGGGCGGGCTGCAAGGTGGTTCGGTGGTTAGCATTGTTGCCTCGCAGCAAGAAGGTTGTTGGTTGGCGTCCCAGTGAGGACACCCGGGATCTTTCTGCGTGGAGTCTCCATGTTCTCCCCGTGCAGCGTGGGTTCTCTCCGGGTTCTCCGGCTTCCTCCCACAGTCCAGAAACATGCTGAGGTTAATTGGTGATTGTAAATTGTCCGTAGGTGTGAATGTGAGTGTGCTTGGTTGTCTGTCTCTAAGTGTAGCCCTGTGATAGACTGGTTACCTGTCCAGGTGAACCTGCCTTCACCCTGAGTCAGACTCCAGCCCCCCATGACCCTGGTGAGAACTAAGGTGTAGAGATGATGGATGGATGGTCCCAGGGCCAGCGAGCTGGCCTACAATGACGTCAGCACTTTCATGTCCTGTGATTGGGTGGTCAGAGAGCGCAGCCAAAGCTAACGATATCTGTAGTGACCTGCACAAGTTGTTTTTGTTTTTTGTTTTTTGTTTTTTTAAGTTAAGCAAGCGGACATTCTCAGGCCTACAGTGAACTAAAACTTATGTCAGAAACACAACTGGACAGACGGACTGTCAGCATCAGCCTCCAGGAGACAGAACAGGACTGATTGTTGGACTAGCTGCTCAACAGAGTGACTGAACTGTTCATGATGAAAGAATGAAGGACGGAGTTTGTGTTCAAATAATCACAGGTTTTGGTGAATAAAATATATATTTTTGTCATTTTATTGGGCTGATGCTGATGCTCCTGTTAGATGTGCAGGTTCTCACCAGAAGTGTTTGACAGCGTCGCGGGGTTCTTAGCGACACTCCCCCGTTAACGTTAGCGTCTTTCCTGCTAACCAATAGCAGTGTTAGCAGCAATGACGACGGTAGAGAAAGGAGTTTCTTTGGAAAATGTGCACATTTTACTGTAAAACGTGTCAAATTTTCCAAACACGCAGCTTGAAAGACAGCTTGGCGGCCCAGACAGCGTGTGTTTTGACAGCCTGATGTGATGCATGTGGTTAATGGAGACTTGTTGAATTGTTTTAACTGGTTTCTGGCTTTCGTGATGGCGTTCATTCTCACATAAGATACCTGTCTGCGATGTAACGTCCTGTTATGCTGCCTGTCTGCATAATACTGATGGTTTCTATAGCTGTGGCGTCATAATGACGGTGTTAAGAGGTGGTTTGATTCAGGCAGGACGCCACTGAAGGCCTAAGAGTAAAATGCACGGCCCACAACTGCATTCAAGTACAGTAGAATCAAACCTTTCTTTAACGTCTGAGTTATTACTGCACCTCTGGCCATCCCATGTTTAGCTGTCCGTCTGGCCAGAACACTGGTATTGGGGTCATAGTCAGCACTCTTCCTGCCAAAAACAATGAGTGAAATTGATGCCAAAGAGTCAATTTTGGTCTCATAGAACCAAATCACATACTCCCCTGCCTTCTGCATATCGTTCAGATGCTCATTGGCAGGCTTCAGACGGGCTTGTACATGTGATTTCTTGAGCAGGGGGAGCTTTCAAACTATTACAAAGCAGTGTGTTACCAATGTTCTCTCAGTGACTGTAGTCCCAGCTGCCTGAGATCCTTAATCAGTTGCGTCCATGTAGTCCTGGGATTATTCTTGACCTTTCTGAGGATTATAGATGCTGCTTGAGGTCAGATCTCGTGTGGAGCCCCAGACCAAGGGCGATTGTTGTTTTGTGTTACCACCATTTGCAAGTGATTCCACCAACAGTTGTGACCTTCTCACCAAGGTGCTTGCCGATGCTCTTCCAGCCTTGTGAAGCTCTACAGTCCAGTCTCCGACACCGCTGACGGCTCTTTGGTCTTGCCCATGGTGGTGAAGTTGAAGATTGTAGCTGCCCTCAGCATCAGTAACACAGTGGTAGAGTTCGACTGGTGCTCAATCTCATCTTTATTTCACATGTGCACTGTGAAACTTGCTTCACCTGCCAAGGGGGCAAATTCTTGATGGACGACAGGTATGCCTCCGTTTTGCTCACGTCGTGTCTGAAACCTTCCACGCGCACACAGTAAACTCCTTTTTTCAATCAATGAACGTTGGCGTGTGACGGCACACCGGGCCTTTACACCAGTTCCGGTGTGCGCTGCTCAACCCCGGAACATGAATACAAAACAAATGCCAGTGGCCACCTACAAAGATGCAAAGTGTGATTCTTTGCACAGGTTTCTTTCACACATGTACAGCTGAAACCAGAAGTTTACACATGCTGTATAAAAACACATAAAACCTTTTTTTTTTTTTTCCTTTTCCTCAATATCAGACATGGAATCAGACTAAACTTTTCCTACTTTGGGTCAGTCAGGATTACCAACATTATTTCTATTTGCTAAATGCCAGAATAGTGAGTGAGAGAATTTTTTGTATTTTGCAGATTTTTGTATTACTTTCTTCAAGTCAGAAGTTTACATACTCTAAGATTACTATGCCTTCTGTTGAAGAAATGTACCCAT